TATAGAATACACTGAAAGGAGACTACTCTTTAATCTATACCAGAAGGAAACAGCTGTTATACGATTTGGCGAAACTGAGGAAGAAGCACGCATAAGAAAAGGAGTAAGGCAGGGTTGTACTCTCTCACCTAGCATATTCAATGCATACATCCAGGAGGCAATTAACATAATAAGAGAGAAAATACATTTGGGTATAAAGATAAATGGCAGGAAAATCGATATGCTACGGTTCGCAGACGATATAGCAGTCATAGCTGAAAATGAAGAAGATTTGCAAAGGATGCTAAGGTGTATGGAAGAAACTCTGCTCAATGAACTGAGCATGAAAATAAATACGAAAAAGACCAAAGTTCTCGTATGCAGCAGGAGCAATAATATTACGACAAGAATACATCTGCAAAATAACCAAGAAATAAAGCAAGTAGAAGAGTTCGCATACTTGGGAAGCATAGTAAGTAAGGATGGCAGAAGTAAAAAAGAAATAGTAAAGCGAATATGCCAAGCTAAGATAGCATTTAACAAAAAGAGAGGACTTTTTACTTCAAAAAATATTAGCATACGTACCAGAATATATCTCCTGAAGACATACGTATGGAGTATAATGCTGTATGGCAGTGAGACGTGGACGATTGCCAAAGAAGAGCGAAGAAGAATAGAAGCTTTCGAGATGTGGTGTTTCAGAAGAATGCTCAAAATAAGTTGGACGGGCATGGTAACAAACGAGGAAGTATTAGAAAGAATGTCCGAGAGAAGAACTTTATGGAGCAGTATCAAGAAAAGGAGAAATGAATGGATTGGACATGTATTGAGACATGGTGGGTTGCTAGGATTGATTATAGAAGGCTGCGTGGAAGGAAAAAATGCTAGGGGAAGACCACGAATGGAATATATGCAACAAATAATAGAGGACCAAGGATGTACTTCTTATGAAGAGACAAAGAGGAAAGCAAGTAACAGGGAAGAGTGGAGAATTGCTACAAACCAATCTCAGGATTGAATACTGAAGAAAAAAAGATTTATAATGTCTTTACCTACCATTTGGTATATTTTTTTTATAAATTTAACCCTTTAACAGCCCACAGGGGGGGATTCAAAATGACAACTTTTTCACAAAAAATTAACTGTTTCAACTAAACTTTTGAAAGTGTTTCGAAAATACTGACATTTTTATATATATCTTAAATTAAAGCTTATGTAATATACTTTGATATTAAAAAAAAAAATTTTGGACTTTATTTTGTCTTCATGGTGAAAATAGCTACCGTATTTAAAAATATGCTATTTTTGTGTTAAAATTCTTGGTTTTGTATTTTATTTTATTATAAGGAGATTACACTGATTTTCATAAATATTATATCAATATAATTGACCTAGTATAAAAAATTAAACATATTTAAATTTTTTTGTTTCTTTTAAGTCGAGAAAAATAACTTTAAAATTTGAACTAGCTAAATTTCCATATTTATTAAGTGACAAATGAGACGTATGGTTTCTGAGACGGTAACACTTGGATTTTTCATGCCTGTGGCACTGAATTTTTTCTTAATTCTTTTTGAGTTAGAAAAAAATTTTTAACTCATTTGATTTTTATCTCATTTAAATTCAATAACTTCAATAAATATCAATGATCCCATTACTGTAGTCTCCTTTCATGAGAAGAAATTCATTATAAATATTATTTTACTATGTGGTTTTTTTTTTGTTGCTATCATTTATTTTCTCAGCTCTCACTTGACCTACTTTTTTGACAAATTTTTTTTTTTTTTAATTAAACACTGTCTATAGATTTGCATCGAAGCGTTTTTTATGATAGTAATTTTAATCACTGTCAGATATCATCTATACTGAACTCAACTATGCCACGACCTCACTGTGCCGCGACCCCACTTTGCTGGGTTTTTTTAAGTTAAGATATTTTGTTAGTTCAAAAATAATTATAAATCATATGTCTTTTTATAATTCAGTATATATTATATACTTACTAATAAAAAAGCTTTTTTATTTATGATGATTTATTGCTATTTTTTTTAGTCATACATAGCTTGCTACGGCTGATTTATAAAAAATTTATATTTTAAAGCTACAATAAATACATAAATGTCTTAGTTAGTAAAAATTTTTATATCATCACAATATATATAAATATGAAATAATATTTGATTGAAAAATTTCTATTAAATATAAAACTTTTAAAACATGAAAATTCTTTTGTTACCCCGACAATAAAAATCTACAAAAAAAAAAAGATTTCAATTAAATCTATTTATAAAGATTTATAAAAAAAAAAACAATAATAAGGGTTTCAATTTATAAGTAAAAAAATTTACAGTTTAAACATTAAAATAGTATTACAATTATTGTAATACATAATTAATTTGTTTAGATATTACAACAATATAAAAATTATAACACATTTAAACATTTTATTTAAAATTATTAGTCAGAAATCAAAATCACACTTTTATTTATATTTGTTATACAAATTTAATAAAGTCATAGAGTTATTTTTTTAGATAAAATCTTTGAAGTTATTACCGTTAATTTCTTAAAAAGTATATAAATAACTTTCAATAGTATTTCAATCTAGTTTTTGTTTTTTATTTTAATATTAATTTTTAGATAAATAAATTTTTTTAAATAAACGATCAGTATTTGAATGTGGAAGAATAGTACGCTAAAACCAAAGTTTAATAAGTTCTCAATAAAAGCACGGGTAAAATACATATACCATGGATTATATTTTTAGTATGTATATATTATCACGGTAGCTTCTTAGTGTGTAAATGTTTCTATACAGAGTGATTAGTTCATCAAAAACCACTCCATTTCTTGCAAAATAAATCCAATACTGGAAAAATATCTTACTTGTGTAATTGTAGAAATTATGTAATTTGAAAATGACTGGTCGGTAATAATTTTTGGACCAGTATTTCAGAAGTTGTTAACAATTTAAAGTTTTGACTATAGATGAGGAGTAAATGCTACTATTTTTATAACTAATCATTTCCCAGTTTTACTCTTCGTCCCGCCTATGTTTAAAATTAAGAATAACATCCAAAAGTTGTCACGACTAGTAATTTTCCTATTTTATAAGCTAGTTAAATGTGTATGTCATCATTTTAAAAAAAAATCACTATCAAAAAAAAACGCTTCGATGCAAATCTTTAGATAGTGTTTAATTTTAAAAAATTGGTGGATTATTCCAAAAGCTTCATAAACTGCTAGTTCCTTATTAATATCCTGATTAAGACAAAGTATGTCGAATAAAAAAGAGATTATTAGAAAATAGTATTTCCCATAAAAAAATTATATTGATCAATACACTTTTCAATAAGTTATAGCATTATAATGTTAAAAATGTAAAAAATAAAATTGAGAATTTTCACACAATAATAGCATTTGGTAGCCATTTTCACCTTGAAGATAAAATAAAGTCCGAAATTTTTTTTTTCCATGATAAAGTATATTACATTAGCTTTAATTTAAGATATATATAAAAGTGTCAGACTTTCCGGAACACTTTCAAAATTTAAGTTGAAAAAGTCAATTTTTTGTGAAAAAGTTGTCATTTTGAATCCCCCCCTGTAGGCAGGTAAAAAGTCAGATTTATAAAAAAAATATACCAAATGATAGGTAAAGACATCATGCATCTACAAAAAAAAGAATTATATTGATCCATACATCTTTCGAGAAGTTATAGCATTATAAAGTTAAAAATATAAAAAAGAATTTTTTTACAAAAATCGTATTTTTTTTATTAAGTTTAATGTCTGTTTTCACCATGAAGATAAAATAAAGTCCGAAATTTTTTTTTACCATTATAAAGTATATTACATTAGCTTTAATTTAAGATATATATAAAAGTGTCAGACCTTCCGGAACACTTTCAAAAGTTACGTTGAAAAAGTTCTACTTTCTATATGCATTTTTATGTTTTGAATCCCCCCTGTATTTAGGGAAATGGTCCGATTTAAAAAAACAGTATGTCGAATGAAAGATCTATATAAATACTACTTCTCATAAAAAAATTGTAATGATTCATACATTTTTCAAAAAGTTATAGCATAATAAAGTTAAAAATGGAAAATACAAAATCGAAAATTTTCACACAAAAATAGCATTCGGTAGCCATTTTCACCATGAAGATAAGATAAAGTCCGAAATTTTTTTTTTTCATGATAAAGCATATTACATTAGCTTTAATTTAAGATATATATAAAAGTGTCAGACCTTCCGGAACATTTTCAAAATTTAAGTTAAAAAAATTAATTTTTTGTGAAAAAGTTGTCATTTTAAATCCCCCCTTGTGGGCAGGTTAAGGGTTAAATTTATGAAAAAAATATACCAAATGAAAGGTAATGATATTATGCATCTATATAAAAAAGAATTATATTGATATGTTCATTTTTGAAAAAGTTATGGCACTTTTAAGTAAAAAAAATTGAAAAAATTTCGAAAATTAGCGATTTTTAAAATTGTAATTTTTTTGGAGGTTTCCCCCTTTTACGGGGAACGAGGGAATTTTTTTCAATTTTTAAGGGTAATGTCTTCGACTAGATACGATTTGTGATCTTTTGACGTATCATTGAAAGAAATCGGTTCGGTCAGAGCTGAGAAAAAGTGGTAACAGAAAAAAAAAAAAAAAAAAAAACACATCTTAGTAAAACCAATACCTTCTCAGCTTCGCATCGAAGCTAATAAAGGTGATAACCCTATAAGTTATAAGGGATGATCCTAAAAAGTAATTATTAGTTGATAAATCAAGAATTTTATGTAACTGTAAATGAAAAATTATTATTCTAATATTGTATTTATTTTGGGAGTAATCGAGTGGTTTCTAATAAACTGTCACTGTATACATGCGTACCACAGTTATCTACTCTAGTAGAAAACCATATTAATCTTGGTATCAAGATGGATTTATGAATGAATTCACCTTAGTTCGTATGAAAAACACTAATTAAGCTCGTGATGAAAACATGTTCATATGTCTGGCGACACTGGTCCATTTGCCCGTTCATTAACGGAATGTTGTTTTTCTTCTAGTTCAAATATTTTTCCTTCCATGTTGTTCTGGTAGATTCTAGAAAATTCTTCACCTCAGATTAGATATTATGTCTCGTAAGTGTGTGTTAGTATATGTGTGTTAAAGACAGTAAATTATTTTTACGTATGTTGTGCGCTGCTATTCTAAGGATAATTTTTGTTATTTCGAAAATTATTTATGTTTCATACTATTTTTAACTATTTATTTATTTAGAAATAATTATTATAAATTTTTGTTTTGTTAGTATAATTTTTACACCAACCGCTTAAGTTATTATAACTAATATTTTAAGTAAGTTATTTTATTATTAATTTAAATTCAGTTTTTAATGTTCAATTATATTTTATATGAATTAGTGAATAAAATTAAATTTAAATACATACTAAAAACAAATATTCGATTTTCACCTAAAATCTTTTGCTGTCAAAATGATAAAAAATACGATTTCCATTGTCTATTTGATTCATTTGTCAACATGCTTGCATTTATATGTAAGCATGGACATATATGGTAGTGTTTCTAGACAAAATAATATATTATTATTCAATTTTATATTCTAGATTATTAATAGACGAAGGTTTTTATTAATTGTTAATGTCATTGTTTTTAATGTAATATTATTTTAACTGATCAAGTCTAATAGTTTTGTCAGTTTCTTTTATTTTCAGAACATTTTTTTAAGGAAATCAACAAAATTCTAATATTTAATGTAAAATTTTATAATCGACATAAAATTTTTTTTCACTGAATTTTGAGTATTTTATATTATCATAATTTTGATTATTTGATCAAGTCTATTGCTGAGATTCACCCTGCTTCAGATTTAAGTTTATTTCTTTTGAAATAAATTCTAAAATGGTTTTTTTCTAACTAATTATTGATTTTATTTTGTTGGTGTATTTAGTTGATTAATAATTAATAACTGTATTGTTAATAATAATTAACAATTTTAAAATTGTCTATTAAAAACAAAAAATTTAGTACAGAATTCTTTTATCATGAACCCTGTATTAGAAAAAAAAATCTTGATAATTTAAGTTTTGATACAAAGTTAAAAAGATTCATTATACTATTTTTATTTTTTATTTCTTTTAGTTATATACATTTCTCAATTTATCAGTCATGAATTATTTTTATAGTTTACCTTTATATATTATAAAAGTACTAAATTTATTTTTTCAATTGACAACATATATGTTCAACTAGTTTTTTTAAGGTAATTATCTAATTAATAATGATCATTGATAAATTAAGAAAAACAAATAACTAAATGATATAAAAAAAAAATTAATAATCATCAAAATTATGTTCTATTTTTTTTATTAAATGAGTGGTTCATGATGAAAAATTCACCTGTACTTATATATTTATGATTAAAATATTATAAAAGCAATTAGTAGGATGTAGAGTTTCATAGTAAAAGTCTGTATTTAATATTCTATTATTCACTTATAACAATATATTTAAAAACAATTATGATTTTTACATTTTTATTGTAATTTAAATATTTCAATTTTAGCATATGATGGGAAAAGACTATTATCAAATACTTGGAGTATCCAAAAATGCTGCAGATGATGAAATAAAAAAGGCATACCGGAAATTAGCATTAAAATATCATCCAGATAAAAATAAATCTGCTGGTGCTGAAGAGAAATTTAAAGAAGTTGCTGAAGCTTATGAAGTTCTTAGTGATAAAAAGAAACGAGATATCTATGATAAATATGGAGAAGATGGTCTTAAAGGTAGTGCAGGTGGTCAAGGAAATCCTGGTGGTGGCAACTTTTCATATACTTTTCATGGTGATCCAAGAGCTACATTTGCCCAATTTTTTGGTTCATCAAATCCGTTTGGAAATATTTTCGGTGGTGGTTCAATGTTTGATGATGATATGGATTTTGATGATGGTTTTATACGAATGGGTCATGGTGGAGCACCCGGTTTGGGGGGTGCATTTCGATCACAATCATTCAATGTTCATGGCTCTCCAATGGGGCGCTCTAAAGAAAAAGTACAAGATCCAGCTATTGAACATGACCTTTATGTATCATTAGAAGACATTATGAGGGGATGTACGAAAAAAATGAAAATATCAAGACGAGTGTTACAAGCTGATGGGACTTCCAGAAAAGAAGATAAAGTTCTAACTATTAATGTTAAACCTGGTTGGAAAGCAGGTACCAAAATCACTTTTCAAAAAGAGGGTGATCAAGGAATGAGTAAAATACCAGCAGACATAGTATTTATTATAAGAGATAAACCTCATCCATTGTTTAAACGAGAAGGAAATGATGTTAGATATACTGCATCTATATCTCTTAAACAAGTATGAATTTTATTTTATAAATTAACATATTATTAGTTATTAAAAATAATTATTTTTATCTGTAGGCACTCTGTGGTACAGAAATAGTAGTTCCTACGTTATCAGATAAAAAAATTCCCCTCAATCTTAAATCTGAAGTAATAAAACCAACAACAGTAAAACGGTTGCAAGGTCATGGTCTTCCATTTCCTAAAGAACCATCACGACGAGGAGATTTATTAGTATCATTCGATATTAAATTTCCTGAAGTTTTATCACCAGCTGTAAGAGATATTTTATATGATACGCTACCATAAGTAAATTGTATGTTTTTACATGCTTATAGACCTTATACTATGGTCAAAAGAAATTTTGTAATACATTAAATATATGTTTATGTAAATACCTATATATATTTTGTATAAATATATATACAAGTATACAATTTTATACTTTCAATATATTTATATATTGTATTCTGTATAAGTTCTATACTGCATGTTTTTTATTTTGTTCTTTATTCTAACTTCTCTATTTACTGAGATAATTACAAAATAGACAATTTAGGTTAATTATGTTAAATATGTATATAATTTAACATTATTTTTTGTTAATACATGAACAATAATTGGGTTTTACATGAATGAAGTAGTTATTTAAAATAAATAACTTGGAACGTTGTATAATACGAGCCAAGAAATCTATTTAAAGGTACTGAGTAATATATTAATAGATAATTTCTTACATAAGCTTAGAAATTATTATTTCTTGTAACACATTTCTAAGCAGTCATGGTATTTTTATCTACTCTGTATTAAATATTAACAATGAAAATGTTTAACATATCTTAAGTCAATATTTACAGATTAATGTTTTACTAACTTATTTTTATTAAATAAAGATTTTAATATTGTTTTTACCTAATTCATTTTTTAATAACTGGATGAAAATTTTTTTTTTTAATCTATTACTTAATAAATTGATTCAAGTTTTCAAAGTTTACTAGTATAAATAAAACTGAAAACATGTTATATTACCAAGTATTAATGTAATTTTAATTGCTTTAAAACCGTATTAATGGCTCTTTATAATAATAATTATAGGAGTGTTACTAGTTATTTTTATATAAAAAGAAATATTTACATTTTTTACATATAACTGTATTAATCTTAGCACAATTGATTAATATCAGGCTCAGTTAGGAGATGCACCTTAATAACAAATAATTTTTAAAAATGTCAGAAAACAAGCATTTCTTTAAGAATTACTTTTTTTTACATTCGTTAGATTTTTATATTAGTTCATCAATATTCCTTGGTTACATTACTAGCTTATTATATCTTTAATAATTCAATGTGTGTATCATGTCCCAATAAAAATTGGGATTATCTCCATTTACATTTTTTTGTTTTATTGTATTTTGTTAGCATTTACACTACAAATATATTAAAAAAAAACAGTACGAGTACTGTCAGTTTCATAAATGACATACCAAACAATTTAATACATTTTTAAGATTATGTAAAAAAATCATTAAGTTTCCATATATTCAAATCAATCTAGTTAAAGCACATTTAAATAAGCTCTCTTTTCACAATAGTAGTCAACATTTGTTTTTTTTATAGAACAAATAAAAAAATTAGTGAATTATGCAAAATAGTAAGATAATTAAGGAAAAGTCACTGATTTGTTAATAGTTGCACACTAAAAAAAACTATCAATTTGCTTTCTATAAATAATGTATAAATAAATATTACCTAAAAATTCAATTGAATGTCGACACACATTGAATAATTTAACTAAATTTTTCAATATGTAATTAAAAAAGTATTAAATATTGAAAAAGGAAATAAAAATACAACTATTAATTTAATATAATCCATATTTATTTGTCATCAATTACAAAATAAAATCTGAAAAGAAAAAAAACAACTAAGTAAAAATTATATTATATTTTAATAAAAAATTAGGAGCAAAATTTAAGACGTCAAAAAAAAATACTCAGAAATTTCATACATTAATAACATAAATGTATGTTAGCTTTGATTTATAGTTGATAATTTCTATTGTCAAGAATTTTGGAGAATATAACAATCAAAACAAAATGTTGGGGATCAACATAAATTAAAACAAGTTCAATAATATTTTGGTTAAGATCCTATGCATGTAAAATTTAAGTCCTCAGAAATTTAAAACAATATTAAAATTTTTAAATTATTTTACCCTTGAAAATAAGTGTAGAGAAACAAAAACATTAAAAAAAAAAAAAAAAGTTGAAATTCAACTAATTTGATTAAAAAAAAAAAAACAACTAAGAATACAGAAAAAAACATAATTTTAAATAATATAATGAAAATTTAGTGTGATTCTTTTTTTGAGGTTTTCTCCTCAATAGCGAATATTCCACTCAAAAGTAGTTGTATAACAAAAAATATGTGTAATTCAAAAATTTAAACAATATTAATCATTAAATAATTTTTTTCAATTAAAGTTATAAATAAATACTAAATCAACATATAAATTAATTAAATAGATAGAATGATCAACTTAAGAATAACTACTGAGAGTGGTGGATGGGATGCTAACCCCTACCAGATAACTACTGAACTCAAATCCTTATTATTAAATATATTCAGGACTTGAGGTCAGTAGAACATATATACTTACTACAATTATTCTTCAGGGATGGTAACAGAACCATCATCAATTGCTTCAATAATATCATGTGGAGGTTTACCATCAACTGTGCACCCAACACTCTAAAATAATTAATAAAATAAATAACATATATTAAAATAACTCAATATATAAGATTATGGAATCTTATATACTAAATATATTAATAAAATAAGAATTTTTTTCAATACCTGAGCTGAACCTAAAATTTCTTTGACAGTTCCAGCTAATGTTCTAGCCATAGACCTAGACCTCATCGTTCTACCAATATTAATTATCTCATCCATAGTGACATTCCCATTGTGTTTCACTAAAATATAAATGAAAATTTTATACATAAAAAAGCCATTCAAATTTGAATTATTTGAAAACTTTTAACACAATGAACATTATATAAAATAAAATAATGTACGAGTCCGCAAAACCAAACAATAACACTAAGTAGTTCTGGGTGAAGCAACTCTTAACAATGTTAATTTACGACATGTTGTTAAAATCATGTTAGTAATTTTTTAAAACATGAGGAACAATTGTCGATGTAGAATTAAAAACAAGCAACATAATGTAATAATACATCAAGTCAATACCAATACATACCATTTTTGACCTTCTTTCTATCACGAGGTGGTTCTTTCAAAGCTTTAATTACTAAAGATGATGCTGATGGTACTACAGAAATTGTAGCTACCCTGTTTTGAATAGTAAGTTTTACAGTAATTTTCAAACCTTTCCAATCAGAGGTAGCTTTGGCAATATCATCACCCACTTTCTTTGGAGACTGAAATGCAAATCATAAATTTAATATAAGTTTATTTAAAATAAAATATATTATAAATTATAAACAAATTGAATCCAAAAGTCTGTGAACAAGAACTTACCAAACCCAAAGGACCAATTTTAGGAGCAAGTGAAGATGTCGCACCAACTTCTCCACCAACACATCTCATAAATACTAAAGAATAATAAATAAGATGTGATTTTATACAGTTATATAATGAAAATATGATTATATATATATATAAAAAAAGAGGATATAACATATTTATCTATTTTACAAAATAAAGAATGTTGAAAATTAATTAACTGAACTATCCTCTAATATAAAGAATATTAATATTCTATAGGCGTAGTGGACATTCCAGATGCTGTTAAGCTTTATCTGCTTCTGTAAGTTGTTGAATGGGTTAACATACAAGAAGTAAATGAAAAACCACAGAACTTAATAATCCCTAGGATACACATCTGAACTTCAAAAAAATTGGTAGGTATTAACTAACATAATGGTTAAATTAAAACATATTATGCTAGAATCTGAATGTAAATTCCATTTATATTCATATAATTTCTTTGATGAAAACTAGGAAAACATTAAAAAACATTTTCAGTTCTTTCATAACGGACTCAGTTATTAATAAATTCAAATGTATTTCAACTGGTTTTAATGCTTTTCATACAATTAAAATTAAGAATAAAACAACAATTTTTGGGCAATAATAATATTAAGTTTTACAGTTATACTTTAATGAAAATAATTATTTTTTCGAAATGCAAGGAGAAATTAAAGCTATAAGTTATTAAATAACAACATTATGTGAATTTATAAGAATAAAAATTGAAAAGTTGTATAATGAATATTTTTTACAAATAGATTTAACGAAATAAATTAATAATGATTACGAAGATTTAAATAAACATGTAATGGTAGTATAGTGATTGATTAAATACATATTGAAAATATCTTAATGAAAAACTATATAGCCTATAGGTTAACTTGTGACACGTGTTAAGTAGAACCCAAAGGAAATATTAAAAAACAACAAAAATGTCATTACCTTCTTTAACTTCATTTGGATCAAACTTGGGCGGCATTTTGATTTTAAAATAAACGCTTACAAAATAAAATTAACTTTAATAAAAATATAAAATAAATTTAACAAATTTATTGACGAACATGCAATATTAAAATCGAGTCCGATGGCAAAATGACCATACTTATAAAATGAGGTTGTTTGTGGATGAGAGTCAAACCGGTGATGACAGATGTACGATCAGTGTTGTAAATAATACAATATTTAAATTGTAACAATAATGTAATATCATAACATAATTAGTAAAAAAAATACAGCTAAAAAGTGTAGTTGCTTTACTTATTATTTTTAATATACATTTTTAAATTGAGCTAGTAAATATTTGTTGAAATATATTTTATTTATTTTTACCTTTTTTAAGAATGGTCATACTGAGTAAAAGACGCTTCATTATCAGTATTCATTGATCACATTGTTATCACAAGCATTCGCAAGTCTATCGAGGTAGTAGAAATTCGGTTTACCCAACACCGATGCCGAACAATTCGTGAAAACGTGAACTGAGTTAAATAACTTTATTTTGCTGAAATTTTAACTTTTACGTGATTTTTATGTTTTCAATTAAAAAACAATTGATCTTCTGATAGATCTATTACGATTTATTAACTTCAAATTTTAAGTTAATTCTTTTATCCTAATACATTTTGATTCTAGAACTATTATTTTTATAAACATTGGATCGTCATATTTGTGTTAACATTTAAATTGAATTGTTGTAATTTTTAAACCAATTCGATAGTTTTTTTACTGCTGGTGCCGTTCAAGGTTAGTAAATTTAATATTATCGTATGAACTTATTTTTGAAACGAATGAGCCAATAAAATATGCATACTTAGATAACATTGTTATCTAAATATGAATATTAAAAGCTTAAAGTATGCAAATATAGCATATATGCTAATATACAAAAATCCATTTTTCAGTGACAATATGGGAAAGAAAAGTTCAAAAGTTAAGAATTTATCTAAGTCTAAGACAAAATTGCAAAAACAAAAAATCAAATCTCATAAAAAAAATAAAAGTATTTCCAAACTTAAACATAAGTCAAAGCAAATTTCTGAGAGTCAAGATATTCCTTATAAACCAGAAGCACCTCTTACCAATTACTTAAATTACAAATCAAATTATTTTGCTGTTAGGTACATATTTGAATGTGGTAAGATTTTTTTTTTAGATTTATATTTTTTTATAAAAAACAATATGTAAAATATAATTTTTTATTAAAAATTGTATTACTTAGGAATTAAATTGGGTCTAAAACATCTAACCATATGTTCTGCTGCTGTATATTTTCACAAATTTTATAAGTACGCTGAGAAAACAGCATATGACAATTATGTAAGTAATAGCTTTTCATAGATAGCAGATTTATCAATCTTAAAATATCTATAATACACCAAAATAGAATTCTTTTTTCAATGATATCTTATTTTTAAACTTCAGTTAAACTACAACTAATAAATGGTGATAAATGTCAGATGTTTGTGATTTTACCCGATATAGTGTATTGTAGATAATTTTAATTGTTACACTTTAAAAGGTCCACTCGTGCATTTAATTAGTGTTTTTCACATCGTTCACGTAAATTATTTAGTTTATCTTTGTTTTACAGATTTTTGTACCTATATTATAAATGTATAAAAATGTAAAAGTTTTAAGACTTGTTTATATAATGCATAAACTTATTGTCTGATGGTTTTTCTGTTAATTGGAGAATAAGGAATACAAAATATTTATTACAGTTAATATTGTTTCATTACCAATCATTTTGTCATATTTGATCTGCATTACATAATTATATTACAAAAGTTATGCTTAGAGATATAAAAACGTAAGTGTGATTATTATTAATACTGAATATTCTATGGGGAGTATTTGTACTAATTTTTTCAGTCTTATAGTTTGTGATATTTCTTCATTCATACATAAAATTGGAATAATTTGCTTTTTCAAGTAATTTTTTTACATGAAAAAATGATTTATATATGAAATTTTAAAAGGTATATTAGGTAACTATAAATGTTTAATTGGTATACTATATTTAAACATAAAAGTTTGGTGAGCATAAGTTTATAGTGTTTCATTTTTATACAAGTAAAAATATATTGATAAAAGTTAATTTAAGCTTCAAAATGTAAAAATTGTTATATAAATAGGTACTATTTATCAAATGTTTTTGATGGCATATCAATTATGTTTATTAAAGGACATTTATATATATATATTTGTATAATTTGTAATTGTCTTATGAACTATGAGTTAAAGTTACAAATTTATCTGCACATGGTTCACATAAGCTTTAGTTTTGTCTTGATCAAGTTTTAATTTTACTATGAAATTTTGTTATCAGTTTAAAAAATAATTAAAAATTTTTAACTTATTTTAATTTTTCTTCCTTGTTTAATATAAAGTTTCAAGAATTATACTACATACTCATACCAATTATGACATAAGACTGAAACAACCTATTTCATCAATTTTTTTTCATTGAATTTGATTGATATTATATATTTATATGTTATATATTATATAAACAGCATACCTAGCACAATTTATAATGCATCGAGCCTTGGTGTGCAAGCACTGGGGTTAGATTTTGTTACGCCTGGATATGTATGTTTTCCCCGTCCTCTCTGGCACAAGTAATAGCTTTTAAAGACAACATGAAACACGATAAAAATAATAGTAAAAAAAATAATATGTATTAAAGAAATATTTATATATTTTACACACAATTGTTTTGTATAAAACTATCAGTTTTCAAATGACTGTTTTGATCTATGTATTTTGTATTTTCTTGCACTAACAATTTATAAAGATTGAAAAACTAGTTTCATTTGACATAAAAATGTATTGTTAAGTTTCGTTTTTTAGTTTGTAATGTATATTATATTGTTTTTATAATCAAAAAAAAAATTTCAACAGTCTATTGCCAGTGCTACATTATATTTGGCCAGTAAATTACAAGATGAAGCCATCAAGCTCCGAGATTTGATTAATGTGTCTTATCATACATTGCACAGAAATGCATCTCCATTACCATTAGCAGAAGATTATTGGTATTTCAGAGATTCAATTGTTCAAGCTGAAATGCTTATTATACGTTTATTACAGTTTGATACCACATTTAATCATCCTCACCATGTAAGTAATTCTTAGTGAATTTACTAAATTAACATTTTGACTTTTTAATTAATTAGACAAATTTAAAAATGTTTTGTTCAAATTTTTTGATTGTTCAAACTATAAAAAAGGTACTTTTTTGAGATCCTTATATTATTTTCTAATTGTTAATTTAAATAAGTTAAACATTTTCTTCTTCTTGGCTTTTACAGGCCTTTAAGGCTCACTGCTGCAACAACATATTTTCTCCATTCTTCAGTGTTTCTTACATTCAGAAGTTTCAAATCTTCTTGTACTCTATCCATCTTTGCTTAGGTTATCCTCTAGGACTTTTAGTGTAGGGTCTCCATTTAATTTTTGATCTAATCATTACTTCCAACCTCCATACATCTCGAAAATATCATATACTTTGTTTTAGACTCATTTATCTTAGACTAGTTTTATACCTTCACTTAGTAAGATACTAGTTGTATTTCTGAGTTCATTTTCTGTTTCGACTTTAAAGACTATATCATTAGCAAAAGTTAATTCATTATTATTGTCCATTTTTATTCTTTTGGCTTGGATTAGTACATTTCGCATAACTGATTTTAATGCAATATTAAATAGAGTTGGTGATAGAGTGTCTCCCTATCTGAGTTTTGTTGTCACTGGAAACTCATTTAATATCTGTCTTTAAAAACTTACTTCACTTTTAAAGCCATATTTACATGCTTTGACACGACTTACGGGTGTGTCAGCTTTTATCGTTCTAACTAATCTGACTAACTTTGCTGGTAACCCATTTGATGCATAAAATTCCATAGTATTTCTCTATTAATCAAATTGTATGCTGCTTTGTAATCTATGAATATAAGGCGCACATTTTAAATTAAATTAACAAAAAATGTAGTGAAAAATTCAACTTTTTTTTACATAATATCTTTACTCAACTTCAAATTCCTTGTAGGGCATGTATTAGTCATATCATATTAGACTCAAATTTTACACCATTTGTTTTTATAACCATTAAAAAAAAAATTAATAGAATAAAAATAATGAAATTTAAAGTTTGATTTTTAAGAACTGCACTAATAACTACGAAGTTATCTGTTTGTCATGAACCATCACTCAGTTACTCATAAAATAATTACAATATTAAAAAAGAAAATAGTTTTTTTTTTTAGTTACAAATATTTCTTGATTTATCATCTATTAATTATTTTTTTAATTCATCCTTTAAACTTTATTAAGGTGTCATGTTTTATTTATTTTTAATGAAAATATACATAACTTATAAATTAGAAAATTATCTAATTAAGAAAATGACTGGTCAATAACAATTTTTGGATCAGTACTTAAGATTTTATGACAATTTTAAAATATAGACTTCGAAAGGTATCATTTCTAGGCCACACTCTCCTCTCATCTGGTATAAAAACATTAATAATTTCAAGTATGATTCATAAGTTGTTATTAACTTTTTATTTTCTACAATATTAGTTAAATACATATTTTGCCATTTAAATAGTTGACAATCCTATAAATTAAAAAAGAATGATGCTAAAAAGTAATTAGTAGCTGATAAATCAAAAAATATTTCTTGTTAATAAAAACCAAAAAAATTGTTTTGAATATTGTATTTATTTTGTGCATAATTTAGTAGTAGTTTATGATAAATGGATCATCTTGTAGTTATTAGTGCAGTTCTTAAAAATCAAACTTTAAATTTCACTATTTATATCTTGAAAATAGTTTTAATGATTATAAAAATGAGTTGAGTTTACCAGTATATGCTATTTTAGTTTCAAAATAAATTGATATTTTACATTTTTTTTTTTAAAGTAGTTATTTTGATTTTTTCAGTACTTTTTGCATTATGTTCAAACTCTTAGACCACTCTTTTATTCAAAACATGAGAAAGACATGGTTATGTTCAAGCAAGCTTATAATTTTTTACATGTAAGTTTAATATTTTACTAATTATTTTATATTAACAGAATTTTGATGTATATATTTTTTTATATCTTTAAGGATTTCTACCATAATAGTGATTTACTTCTCTATAAACCACAGCACATTGCTATTGCATGTTTGGAGTTAGCAATCAAAGTTTATGGAATGCCCTGTCCTATTATTGATCATGATAAGCAACCTTGGTATCAAGTAAGTTAACTATTAAGTTAAGTGGTATGCAGTAAAAGTCATAATATATTAATTATAAGTTAAACATTCACTTATAATTTTTTTTTTTTGATAGAGATTATTATATTTTTGAATAATATGTATCAGATTTTTAATTATTAATACATGTATTATTTCTCAAGGCTCTTTTAATTTACCAATCAAATTTTTTTTAATTTACAACTTTGGCTGCTATGACCATTAGATTCACTTTTAACTAAGAACTATTATTTACAATTTAATTGAATGTAATATATATATATATATATACCAGGTGTGCTCCTAATTAATTGCCGGTTTATTTGTAAAGAAAACACATTAATTGTAAAAAATCTTTTATATTTATTTTATTCAAAATATTTCCCATCGCTTTCTATACATTTCTCCCATCTCTCGGGCAATTTGTGGATACCACGCCAGTAGAAATGACTCTCTTTGGTGATGAAAAACTCGGTGAGCCATTTTCGTAAATTTTCGAATGATTCGAAACGCTGCTCAGAGAGAGCGTGACCCAACGATGCAAAAAGGTGGTAATCAGACGGGGCCAGGTCTGGTGAGTACGCCGCATGATCAAGTACTTCCCACTGCAACTTTTCCAATGTGTCGCGCACGACTTTTGATTTATGCGATGGTGCATTATCATGGAGCAAAATCACCTTTTTCTGCCTCGCATGATATTCAGGCCGGTTTTCTTCAATTGCTCGTTTCAAGTCTGTTAATTGTTGTTGGTAGCGAATGGCGTTAACAGTTTCGCCGGGTTTTAGCAGTTCAAAATAGATCACACCGGTCTGGTCCCACCACACACACAACATGGCCTTCCGACCGAAACGATTTGGCCGTGCCGTCGATGTCGTTGCTTCACCTGGACTGACCCACGATTTTTGGCGTTTAGGATTCTCCAAATAGATCCATTTTTCATCCNATTGTTTTATTTTTATACTTTGTCAGAGTTGTGTTTTTTAAGAATTTTGTGTTGTCTTCTGGATCTGGTACTAAAATTGATTTCAGATGTGTTGATATGTTTTAGGTTTTACATTCTTCAGCATGTTTCCTATATTCTATAAGCGTGTATTTTTAATAGTAATCCTTACTCTGCATGTTTCATAAATAAGTGGTTCTTTTTCTTCTATAAGGTGGCAATGAGTTAATTTCGTATGATATATCCGAAGTCTCTGTGTCACAGTGATATGTTTTCTTAATAACTTTTTGTTTTCTTTAATTTTGGATTGTTTTCTATCCAATCTTCTTTTTTTTCCTCGCCATTATCTCAACTACTTTGATTCTGCCACCCTTATCCTAAACTTCCACTTAATACAATCTCCCACATCTTCTACGCTCACATCAGCCATCCTCATATCACATTCAATAACATCTCTCCATCTCGTTTTTCCTCTACCTCTTCTTCCTTCAATATTCATTTCTATAACTGTTCTTACAGCTTCCGATTCTTCTATCATCATAACATGACCAAACCGACTAAGTCTATTTCCTCTCATCTTATCCACGATTGACGCTACACCTATACTCCCTCTTATATGCTCGTTCCTTATTCTATCTTTTCTAGTCATTCGACTCATCCATCTAAGCATTCTCATCACTGCTACACTCATTCTCTGCTCTACTTTTTTATCAACCACCCAACACTCTGAACCATACATCATAGTTGGCTTCACTACAGTCTTGTAGAATTTACCTTTCAGCTTCATTAGAATTCTTTTATATAATAAGACGCCAGACGCTTCTCTCCATTTCAACCATCCAAACTTAATTCTGTGTCTTACATCCTCGTCAATACCACCACTCTTTTGCACAACTGACCCTAAATACTTAAAACTCTCCATCTCTCTAATCACGTCCTCATCTATTGTCACTGACTTTCTCATTTCACCTATTTCGTGTTCTTCTTTGTCAAACTCGTACTCTATATACTCTGTCTTTCTTCTACTTATTCTTAAACCCTTTTCTTCAAAAGCTGATATCCACATCTTTAGCGTTTGATTAATTTCCTCCCTATTAACACTATAACATCAGCAAACAACATACATCATGGCACTTCTCTTTGTATTTCTCTAGTAATTTCATCCATCAATATAGAGAATAAGTAAGGGATTAAAGCAGAACCTTGGTGCAGTCCTACTTTTACCCGAAAACCATCTGTTACTCCTCCTACGCTTTTTACCCTGGTACAAGTGCCATCATACATTTCTTCTATTATATTAATGTAACTTTTCGGGGCTCTTTTTTTCATTAATGCCTACTTTAAAAACTCTTTCGGTACTCTATCATACGCTTTCTCCAAATCTATAAATTCCATACACAGTCCTTTCTTCTTTTACCTATACTTTTCTATTAGTTGTCTTACACAAAATAATGGTTCCATCACTGACTTTCCTGGTTCTATGTTACTGATGTTTTTTCACTTATTATTTTGTCTCAAATATTCATACTATGACTCATAAGCTTTATTCCTCTTTAATTTCGACTCTCCTATTTGTCCCTTATAAATATCGACATCACAATACTATTTTTCCATTCTTTTCGAATTTTCCTTTTCAATAGGATTTCATTAAAAAGATCCATGTACCTTATGTTAACACCGCCTAATATTTGCCATACTTCTTCTGGCACTTTATCTGGTTATACTGCTTTATTCTTTTTTATTGATGTCACAGCCTCCCATACCTCTTTCTCACTAATTAAATCTACTAGTCCCTCGTACCATAATATATCCTCTAATGTCTTTCTTAGATATATGCCTTTATAATTTCCACACTCCTGTATGTCACCTTTACCTTTATATATCGGCACCATAATACTATTCCTCCTTTCATTTGGAATTTTTCCTTCTTGTAAGATTTTATTTAAAAGTTCCTTCAACCACCTTATGCCAACACCGCCTAATATTTTCCATACTTCATCTGGTCCTACTGCTTTATTCTTTTTCATTGATGTCACAGCCTCCCTTACCTTTTTTTCACTAATTAAATCTACCAGTCCTTCATTCCAGGAGACATCCTCTAAAGTCTCTTTTGGGTACTTCTCATTCTACCATACTTTGAATTGATTTTTCTTACTTTCTATGATTTTTTGAACGTCCTCATCCCACCACCAGGTTTCCTTGTTTTCTGGCATTCTACTTCTACTCTCACCAACAATCTCCTTTGCAGTATTCTTTACACAACTAGCAAATCTATTCCACGCTTCATTTATGTCTTCCTCGACATTCCACACCGTCCTCTCTTTTATCGTCTTTACAAACTCTTTTTCATTTTCCCCTTTCAATTTCCACCATCGGATCTTCGATTTTTCCCCTGTATTTATTCTATTTTTGTTTATTCTCTTTTCGATACACCACAACTCCATTACCATCACTCTATCTTGTGTAGTTATACTCTCGTCTGGTATAACTTTACAATCATATACTCGCTTTACGCTCTCTTTCTTCCACATAAAATAAGCAATCTGTGATCTATTCCTCCCACCCTTATGTTATATAATGTTCTTCCCTCTTTTTAAAATAAGTATTAACTAGTGATGGAAAATATCGAATAGTATCTATCGAACTATTCGATAGTTACACATATATTCGAATAGTTTTTAAAATATTTGATAGCTTATGATAAAAATAAAATATTCGGTGGTATAAACACAATTCGAACACAATTTACAAACGTAAAATTTTAAAACGCGCTGTCCTCTTTATCGGTGTTATGCCTTTGCAAGACAAAAGAGCAGGTAATGCTAGACTAAGAACAGTATACAAGGTATTAAGTGTAAAATAAGACTTTAGTATTTACGAAATTTCTGTTGCGCATAGAACAAACCTTTCCGATAAAACTGAAAATATATCATTAGTCATAGTTTTTTAAAACTATTGAATACTTTTCTATAGTTTAAAATATTCGAAAATGCCCATCACTACTATTAATCATAGCAAGATCATACGATACTGCAAAATCCAGGATTCTTTCTCCAGCCTCATTCTTCCCGCTAAAACCATACTCTCCATGTACTCTTTCAAATCCTCTCCACTTATTACCTCCATATCTATTCATATCTCCACCTATCACCACATCCTCATTGCCAGGTACCCACCACTTGCATCACATCATCCATCTCTCTCCAAAACACTTCCTTGTTTATTTCATCACATCCTACTTGTGGTGCTTATTACATTCAGCACTTTTTCCTTGAATATCAATTTTATTTTGTTTTCTATCCAATGATTTGCTCATAAGATGTCTTTCGTTTACTTCTCATTTAATGTCTGTGTAACTTGATGTGTTGATTGTTTGTGTATTGGTTATTTTTAGAAAGTTCATTGCTTCTTCATTTCCATATATGTTGCAGTATCGGGGAATCCATATAAAGAGATTTTAAAATTCTTTCTCTTAAGTGTAAATATATCTGAACTCTTTGATACGTTGTTAAGATTTCTAAGTGAATTAAATATACTGAAATTTACATTGTTTTTGTAGACTTTTTATTTTTAACAATGTATTCTACTGTTATGTCTGAATTATTGCTAATAATTTTTGTTTGATTTAGATGCTTTTGTTTAAAATAGTGTTGCGTTTTTAAGCTATAGCATATTTAAGTTAATTTCATTACTATCCGATTATTTTTTGGTTATTATAATTAATTAATATATTATATTATGTTATAATATATTATGTTTAATATTTTTTAGTTTTTTAAATTAATAATATTTTTAATATAGTTTTAATTTTACTTAATCAATTAGCCACAAGTGATCAATTTTTATTATATAAGATTAATGTGTATAATTTTTCTTTTCAATAATTAAAAGTTTCGCTATCATTATGATTAGAGTGAATTTATATGCATTTCTACATTTTTTTATTCCAAACACATCATCAGCCAGTACAAATTTATAATCATAGACTTTAAAACTTAGTAAAGTAATCTAAATAAGTTAATAGTATTAAAGGGAAGTATGTAGTCTATTTCTTCTAAAACAAATAAATATTTCTACGCTGCTGTATATTCCAACAACAAATTTGCACATATTTGAGTCCTTTTAAAATGGTTCAAACAAACTATTGGTTTACACAGTATATAATTTTTTTTTATTTATCACAAGTAATAAATAAAGCATTGATCGCCTACATTTGTCAGCATTTAAATAAATAATATGTAACTCTTTAGTAATATCATATATATTTTTAGGCATTAATTGATGATTTGGATAAGGACAAATTATGGAGTGTAATGGTTTCAATTATGGACACTTATGATCTCCAAGTATGCACTGATTGAAATCATAATATTATTAAATGTATTTCATGTTTGTAAATTGTTTTAATATTATTAATAATTCTTATAAGAAAAATAAATAAAGATTATAAAAAATTTCGACAAAACAGTTGTTTAATCCTACCCATTTATAAAACTTATGTAAAATCATACTTTAAAATAAATTAATAAACTTAATATATTAAGAACCATGTGGCGTATTCAGTTTTTCATTTTATTTCAAAACAATATAATAGAAATAATAAAAAAGAAAAAGGCTTGATACTTAAATTTCGAATATACATAAATCTATGAGTTTTAATTTGAGGAAATATTGACTAATTATACAAGTCATCATCACCATCATCTTGGAACGTAGGCTGATCACCACCAGTTGTTGGATTATTGGCAGCTGGTTGGCCTGTTGAAGAGGGAAATCTGAAATTAGTGCCAAAACCTCTTGATTGTTGGAGTGTTTGAGAAAACATTTCATATTTTCGTATATCATTGTCAGTAACTGAACGACGTGCATATAACATGGATTCTTCAAAATGGGCTTTAGTTATTTCTGGTACAGGATCATCTTCAGCTACATCAGTCTAAATTATAAATAATATTAATAGAAAATGGCCATTCATTTTTACAATTAATTCTTTTGAAAAATATTACCTCCATTCCTTGATTATTAGCAGCTTCACGTTCACGTCTTATTTCAGCTTCAATACTTTGTCTGATAGCAAGTTTACAGGCACGCTGACATACTTCAGTCAAATCAGCACCTGAATAACCGTGAGTTACCTTGGCAATATAATTTAAGTCGACATCCTAATAATAGAGGAAACATAATTATATAAAAATAAATATAAAGATGTATGAAAGATTTAAGTAACAGTACACTTCAATAATTGAATTTGCTTTCTTAATAATTAAGAAAGCAAATTTTTTTAATTCTAAATATAAGTACAACTTCTATAATTTCATTGCAACAGGTTTACACAAAAACAGTAAGGTCATAACTAAAGGTTTAACTAAATTTCTTAAGAACTAATGAAATAAGAACTCATTATTAAATTTAAAATAATTCTAGTAAGAATATTATTTATAGAATAATAATTACCTTTGCAACTGGGGATTTCCTCAAATTTGCCTTAAAAATAGCTTCACGTGACTTTTCATCAGGTAAAGGAATATAAATAAGTTGATCCAAACGACCAGGACGGAGAATAGCAGGGTCAATTATGTCTGAATAAAATATTATCTTCAATATTTTTAAGAAATTTTACAAAAATATTTAAAAAATACCTGGTCTATTGGTAGCACCAATAATAAAAACATTCTTCTTAGCACCCATACCATCCATTTCTGTAAGAATTTGATTGATAACTCTGTCAGCTGCGCCACCAGCATCACCAACATTTCCACCTCTTGACTTGGCAATAGAGTCTAATTCATCAAAGAAAAGAACACAAGGTGCAGCAGCTCTAGCCTAAAACATATATATTTTAAAATTAATAAATTTCTTAACTACACATTAGTTAAAAATGTATTACTTTATCAAAAATGTCACGGACATTAGCTTCAGATTCACCAAACCACATAGTTAATAATTCAGGACCCTTGACAGATATAAAATTAGCTTGACATTCATTAGCAATAGCTTTGGCTAATAAAGTTTTACCACATCCAGGTGGGCCGTAAAACAGTACACCTCTGGATGGTTGCATACCAAATTTTAAGAATTTATCAGGATGCTCAACTGGATACTACAAATAAAATACTTTTAATAAATAATATTTAAGTAGGAAATGGTATACTAAGACAATTTGTTAATAATATTATCAATTATTGTAATTATACGGAAGCATCAGTATTCTTCAACTATAGACATTTTGCATTTGGGATAACAACATGTTAAAATAGTAAAATATCCTTAACTAGTTTAATTATATAGAAACTTGTTTTGATATTTTACAAAAAAAGTCAATAACTCAAATTAAAGATCTTACCAGAAAAATGTAAATGAACAATATTATTTGACATAAAATAATAGATAGTGAGCTACTTGAAATTCAATTTTTAAATTGTTTATTTTTATTATCCCGAATAAAATATTTTGACATGTCAACATTAAAAAAAAAAATTTAGTTTACGAATTATGTTAAGCTAATATAAAATATTTGTATACTATGAGTGCAGTTTGATTACAGAAAATATATATGTGAATTTTTACTACTATGTACCGATCTGTTTCATTAAAGCGTAGTGTCTATAATTTAAGATTGTGTAAATTGACAAAATAAATATAAATTTTTAATTCCAACCTAATTTAAAGTAAAAAAAAAAAAAAATTATATTTTATAATTTAAGTTGTAAATCAGCAATATTAATATACCTGAACCAATTCTTGTAATTCTCTTTTAACATTTTCTAAACCACCAATATCCTCCCAAGTGACATTTGGTACTTCAACAACAGTTTCTCTTAATGCACTTGGACTGCTCTTGCCCATGGCATACTAAAATAAAAATGTTATTTTTATATTTCAAAAAAATTATTTTTAAGTTTATGAAATTTACCCTAAAGTTTTCCATTGTGACAGCTAATGAATTTAATACTTCAGCATCAATTTGATCATCTTCTAAATCTATTAAATCCATTTTTTCACGAATTTGTTGTAACGCAGCTTCAGAACACAATGAAGCAAGATCAGCACCAACATGACCATGAGTTTCAGCAGCAATCTAAAAAATATTTTAAATAGAATAAATAAGGGAAAATGATAATATGGTTACATCTGAATTTACAAAATATTTTATATTATACACAGTAAATAACAGTTGTGATAATAGTATGTAAAAATACCTGTTCTAAATCTACTTCTTCAGCAAGTTTCATATTTTTTGTATGAATTCTCAATACTTCTAAACGTCCAGTTGCATCAGGTATACCAATATCAATTTCACGATCAAAGCGCCCAAAACGTCTAAGAGCAGAATCAATAGAATTAGGACGATTAGTAGCAGCCATTACAATGACATGAGATGATGATTTTAAGCCATCCATTAAGGTAAGTAATTGAGATACTATACGACGTTCTACTTCTCCGTGAGTCTAAAATAAAATTTAGGCATTATGGAATAGATATTATACAGCACTTAATTTTCATAGTTAAATTTACTTTTTCACGTTTTGGAGCAATAGCATCTAATTCATCAATAAATATGATTGATGGAGAGTTTCTATCAGCTTCTTCAAATGCTTTTCTAAGGTTACTTTCAGATTCACCAGCAAGTTTGCTCATTATTTCAGGTCCATTTATTAAGAAAAAGAATGCTCCAGTCTCATTAGCAACTGCACGGGCAATAAGTGTTTTACCAGTACCTGGAGGTCCATACAGTAAAATACCCCTTGGGGGTTTTACTCCAATAGCTTTGAATAAACTTGGGTGTCTGAGTGGTAGTTCAACCATTTCTTTGATTTGTGCTAATTGTTTACGACAACCTCCAATATCATCATAACCTACTGTATTAGATGCTTCTTCTTCTTCCTTTAATAGTTCAATATATATATTAACTTTGTTTAACTTAAATCTAATAAAATAATTAATACCTCTCTTTTAATTGGATCACCTTCACAATGAATAACAGTATCATATGCAACAATACAATAAGGTGATGGATCAGTTTCAACTACTTTGAATTCTACTGCTCTCATTCCTCCACGTACTATGAAATTATCATCCTTGTGTATGGGTCTGTATGCCTCCAGAAAGTAAGGTTTAAGAAATACTTCAAATAAATTTCTATAAGACAAAAACATGATTATTTTTTATTTACAATAATTGCTAATTAAGTCTTACCCAGTTAATCCTTCAACAGTATCATCAATAGGAAGTACATGAATTCGTTTGCCATATTTGACATCAGGACATTGTTGAATTTGTACAATATCTGAAATTCTAACTCTCAAGTTATTACGAACTACTCTGTTCATGCGAACTTTTTCATCAGGGCATGTTTCATCAGATAACACTATACATACAGATTCTTTACGTCGTTTTCCTTTTAATAAAACAGTGTCACCACGAAATAGTTGAAGTTCATCCATTTTTGCCTAAAAATTAAAAATTTTAAACTATAAATTTATTAAAATAGTATTAAAAGTTTTAGTACCTGAGACAAAGCAATAACAGAATTATCATCATTGATTGCTTCTTCTACAATAAGCCTATTGGGACGATCTTTTTGCTTCAAAATTGCAGTAGCTAACTCTTCGCTAAAAAAAAAATTTAAAAAAGGTTATATATAGATTAAGACAAAGAAGAAATATAGAAATAAAAAATATAATAATAATAATAATGTTCTAAAATCAAAATGTAAGATACTATTGCTTAAATAACAAGTAAGTTGATGGTAATGGTAGGAAAAATGTTACTAGGAATCAATAAATATATAATTTTGTTGAGTACAATGTTTGCTTTTTTTTAATTTGGTTTACTCAAAATGATAAACATAAAATGAAATATTGAGTTAAGCATACACAATAAATTAATAATTGAGAAAGGATAATTATTCAAAACATATAATATTAAAATGTATTTTAGAATATAACAGTATTTTCAACATTCGAAAACTTAAAAATTGTATATTCAAAATTTTAAAGAATTTAAAATTCCATGATATAAAAAGTATAATGAATAAACTAATAAATCTAAGGTTTATACATTTATTGATATCCAATATATTATTTTAATAAAAAAGATTAAGGTCATTATTTTATTTTGTTATTTTTTATAAAATCTAATCAAGATATGCTTACAACTTTTTTAATAGAGGAATGAGTCAAATTATAACAGTAAATTTAGACCACACCAATTTATCTATAGTTAGCCACAATATTATTTACCTAACAAGGTACTCCTTAATGATACAATTAAATTATTTATATCCTCAATAATAATTGGATTCTGAATAAGGTCTTCATAAAATACTCTTTAGATAATAATACATATAATTTACTATGAGTAAGATATTAAATTACTTTTAAAAAAACTTTAAAAAGTGTAGAAAATAATTTTATTAAATCAAAAGGAAAATTTGGCTCACAAATTGATTGAAAAAGTATTAAAAATGTTTTCTTAACTATGAGAATGATTTAATATAAAAAGTTTTTATAAAATAAAAAATCGATTACATCAGGTATTCATGAATTTATTAACAAAATTTTAGAAGTATATATACGAGTTATACAATTGAAAAAGAGCGTAACTCAATTTAATTTATAAAAAAAATACATTTAATATATTAAAATAGTTAATATTACGTGTAATTATTTTAATGGTAAAAATTTAAGAAACAATAGAATTACGATAACGTCAAAGACATCAACTTACCCTTTTGGTGGTTCAGACATACTGTAATTCGTTAAATTAATAAAATTTTACGTAAATTTGTTGGTCTTACAATGACCAAAAATAATTTTTATTTGAAACTTGAAAAATTTTTAGAAAAATATATTGAAAAAAGCACTAATGAGACAATGCGAACACATACGTAATGGTTGGGAGTTAGGACCGGGAAATCAAAAAAGCACAATCATGCCGTGGCCTAAGATGGCGACCGTAAAAATTGGGATAACGGTTTTACCAATAGAAATATGAACATTTATTAGTACTTATACTCACACAATTAAAAAGTTTATTCGAACGAAAATTATTGTTTTTTAACTTGGAGCAATATATTTAAACGAAAATTCTAATTCTAATTTTACTTTTTAAAATTAATTTACAATAAACAATTTAAAATTTTAGGTAGGACACACTGTTGATTTAACAATTATCAAAATTAATGTTTACATTATGATAATACGATTGCTTGACTTAATTCAATGTAATCACGATTTTAATTGATATTATTGATAAAATTATCATATATCACTTTATACTAAATTAATGTATAAATTTATAAAATATCAATAGTAATCCTACTTCGTACTTATAATTACTAAATAACAATATTTCAATTGATTATTGATTATTTATTAATTTAATTAAGTTATTTTTAGTGTAGTTTTAAATATATTTCTTTGCAATGGCTGGATTAAAAGGTAATCAAGTTTATGCTAAAACGATAAATGATTATTTTTCATAATGATTAGTTCATTGATTTTTATTCTATCAAATTTTAAACAACTAAAATTCTAAGCGCTATAATTTATTATAATAAATTTTTATTGTTTTATTTTTATTTTCTAAAACTATTGTAAGATTGTTTGAAAAGTTAGAAATCTTTAATGAAACTAATTATATAACTCATTCATAACATATTTATAAACACATAAGTTGTATTTTATACATTATTAAAATTTTGATACAATGATATAATGGGGTGTGATAAATATTTTTATAATTCATTGTTTTACAAAATTAAGATAATAAATTGTAATTGCTAATAAAAAAATTAATTATTATATTATTTCTAGTTTTTTTACTTTTGAAATTTCATTGCATTTGGTTAATGAATTTTAAATACATTTTTTGAAATATGTCTTAAATATTTTGCTCATATAAAAAAAAAATTAGAAATTATAAAAATTTAAATTTTTTTATATAATTTACCAGATATATTTTATAATTTTAATGTATATTAGTTAACTTAATCTTCAAATTCTTTTTTTAAGTATGTGTAAACAAAGAATTATAATTTATTTAAAAAATGTGTAATATACCATTATTTTTCTTATAGTGCTATTAAAATAAATGTTTTATATTTTATAAAAAAAAAATGATTAATGTATATTATAGTTCTGTAATCTATATCTTACTAAACTATTATCATTTGACTAATATTTTTACTGTTTTTTTTTTTCATGGTTTCCTTGGTTGTATTTGTTTTGTGATACATAGCGTAAGTAAACATTACATTATTAAATATATATTTTAATATAGCAAAATTTAATATAGAGTACATAATTTGAAATGAGAATTTTGTGTGTTGAAATTGAAATTTATGGATTGTGAGTGATGAATTTCTAATCGTTTATATAAATAAATATTATTTTATATTTTTTAATGTATTAAATGATTAGTATCTAATATATTTTGTATGAAGTTATTATAAGAAAAAAAGCGGTAATGCGTTAATAAATGTAATTTTTTTAGATTAATGACACTAGCATTTGCTGGTTCAATTGGAATGACTTTAGTAATTTTAGCATGTGCCTTACCTGATGTTAAGTAAGTTTTGCATTTTAATTTTGTATAAAATTATTAAAGTTAACTTGTCTTTTTCTTTTTAGCTCATGGTGGCCTTTTATAGTTGTGATATTTTATCTATTTGCTCCTCTACCAACTATGTTGATGAAACGGTATAATGATTATTCTGGTTCAGGTAATGCAAATATGGATTTAGCTGTGTTTATTACAATGTGTTTTGTTGTATCTTCTTTTGCATTACCTATTATAATGGCAAGAGCACACACTGTAAGTATTCTAATCTTAGTAATTATTCAAATATGTCCTTATATATTAAAAAGAATAATATTTTATCATCTTTTAGATTGTCTGGACAGCTTGTTATTTCACCTTATGCGGAAATATAGTTGTATACTTAACATTTATAGGATTTTTCTTAACCTTATATCAAGAAGATACTGATTATAGTCTATGGTAATTCTGTAATATTACAAAAATCTATGAATATAGCAGGCTGTTCAAATGTTCTTATTTACTTTTCAATCAATTTGAGTTATGTTAACAAACAGAAAACTGGGGTACATTATGAAATAATTACTATTAATTTATTAAATAAAATATATATTAAAATAAAATATATTAAATATTGAAGGTAACTCTTAAATTTAGCTGATATCTTACCAACCAAATCAATAAATATAATAACTTTTTTAGTTAACAATTTAAATTATTTTTATGAATATTAAGCAAAAACATTATTTATTATAAATTTTTGACTATAAATTATTTATTGGTTAATTTTAATATAGTAAATATAAAGTGTCTCTAAATATTACATTGGTTTGAACAAAACATTGAATAAAATATTTATAATTAAAAAAAAAAATTTCAAATGAAACTAGTAATGTTTTATAGAGTTTTATTTTTAACTATAAATAGTATCATTTTAGCATAAAATTATATATAATAATATTAATCATGTATAATTTTAAACAAAATTATATTTTAGTTGTATATATGTTTATTTTTAAATTTTCATTTGATTAAAAATTTATTCCTTTCACTTAATTTTTTTTTCATAAAATTCTTTCTTAGTTTTGATATAACTTAAAACTTGTATTTGTATATATTTTTGTATTATATATGTTATTTTATTTATGGTAACTATAATGTATTAGTTAAATTGCAAAATAGTAATCAGTAATAGATTTAATATATTATGAATTGGGCTCTATAGTTTGTTTTTGCTGTGCTATTTTTAAGATTCTTCATTAATTTGAAAAAAACAAACATTTTATATTTTTAGGTTTAAATAATAGTATTAGGTATATTATGTATTATAATAATTGTATTCTTTAACTATTCATTTTCCAAATATTTTTTTGGTGGTTAGAAATGTTTTTTTAAATTTCCATGATTTGTTTTTTTTTTTTAAATCATATTACTAAAATTTATTATTAAAAAATGTGAATTCCTTAAATTTTAAGATAAGGTAGTTCTTAAGACTTGAATCGCTAATTTTTTTTTTTTGCATATATTATGCCTTGAACCTGAATTATTTAAAATATATAATATCTTAATAATTTTCTAATAAATGCCAAAACTCAATACTGTAAATTACATTAAATATAAAAAAATATTTTATAAATACCTGAAGTTAATTTTGGATATTGAGTTATTTCAGGTTTATTGAAGAATTTATTCTGAACTACAAAATTATGATTGAATTTAAATTAGCTGACTAATAATATTTTTTAAATATCAAAATCAAGACTGATGCTAGAGATTGTCTGATGCTCAAAATTCAGAAGGGCTTTTAATATTATTTTATAGTGAAAAAGAATTTTTTTAATTTACTCTGTGGGTTTTTTTAAAAGCTTAGGGAGACTACACATACCCATAGTGCCATTACTAATATCAAAAATCAATGAAATCATAATTATTTTATAAAGCAACAATTTCAACAATAAATGACAATTTTGCTAAAAAAATGAATTCAATTTAATTTAGAGTTGGTTCATTGTTTCCTCATCCTAGATAATATTTTAGAAAACAGTTGAATAATCATGATTTTTTCTTGATAGGGATTAAACATATTTAAATGATTGTTAGCTTGAAATTGATCAGAGTTGTTCAATTCTGTACATAAATTTTTTTAGCACTAGCTAATAGATTTTTCTTAAAATAATAATTATGTAAAGAAAATTATTTTAGATATTTCTTTTTCATATATTTCTTGATTTATTTATTATTATATATTTTTTAACCTATCCGATATACCTTGTAAGAGTATCAACTTTATTTTTTTGAAATGGCAACATACATATTTAATTAGCTTATAAAATAATACATTTAATCTAATTAAAAAATGACTGGTCGATCGATATAGCTTTTAACCTATTATATTAAAAATTATAACTATTTAAAATATAGAGTGGAGTTAAGGTGTAGGTTATATTAATTTTATCAATAATTTGCCGTGCTTATCCTCTATGTTTAAAAATGTTAATAACTTCCAGCATCATTTGTTAAAAGTTGTTATGAACTCGTCATTTTTTATTTTAGAAACTAGTAAAATATGTATGTTGCCATTTAAAAAAAATAAAGTTGTCACTCTTATAAAATATATAGGATGAATTAAAAAAAATACTTAACAATAAATAAATCAAGAATATATGAAAATAAAAATGCCAATAAAAAAAAAAAATTATAATTTTTTTTAGAGAAATCGAGTGGCTAATATTAAAATAATAGCATTGTATACGTAATTCAACTGTATTCAGCAAACCAAACACTAAAGTCTCCGCTTTGGAATAATTTTTAATGAAAAACGTAACCATAAAGTGATGATAAAAAATAAAATTTATGATCCTTTTGTCTCGTAAGCTTCATTGACAGGTTTACCGTTAGACCAACTAGCATATTGGGTGTGTACGTGAGCGCTCATCGATCAATCCCCATAGACGGGATAGGAAGCTACTAGAGTAATATTGTACGGGTTGAAGTCTTGATACGTTACGAGGCGCATTTTATAGGCAATATAGGTGCACTTCGGTGTTCGGGGACACCGGCCGTAAAAGCGTTCTCAATCGACACGTTTTTGTTGGCATAGTAAAATATTTTATGGTTTGGTCGTTGCTACTTCGTGAAATAAAATTGAAATATCTGACATGTCCATCACAGCAGTCTTCATCGCTCTTATCGATTGGTGTATGTAAAACAACACAGTACCTAAGTCCTTACTATGGAAGGGGCACAATGTTCTTTGTACCAACTCTTACCGTGTGTGTTACAAGTACTATGTCATAGAAATATCGTCTCATCCCGTTTTAATTACATCCCTAACACTCTTGATATAGCGAATTCTTTAAAATACCCAAAATAATACTTTGATCGAATTTGTATTATTATTTTTACTATCGCTCACAGGGGACAGACGAATACCCCTCGCTTCTCACGGGTACGCCTTTGACATAATATGTATGTTTTTGATTTGAGTTATCTAGAGATTCTATTACCCGACATTTGGGCTTTGGCAATAAACTGTCGCTAAAAAACGAAACAAATAATACTGTAGGCAATATGATTTTGTTGTGAATTCAGGACGGCATTCAATTACACGGGTTGCTATTGCAATGGAAACTGTAGAAGCTGCCGTGCCGGCAGTCAATTAACCTCTCGCGCCGCTCATCGACTATCCGCTCGCTGGTGGACCCGTTAGTCGATTTTGCCTGTCCCGTATCAATATGCCTTGTCTTTGTCCCTTCGCGCTCCTTTTTTACGATATAATATACCTATGTTGCATTGATGTTACTCGCTGCTGCCACTGTTTATTGCCGTGATTGGCGGTGATGTGCGCGCGCACATACGTGATTGTTGACAATCGTTACGGGCGTATAAACGCGTACAACGATGGGGATGCGATTCACTGGCGACCGAATCTCTGTGCTAACTCGTCAAGTGCCATTCAGTCTAGGACGTTCGGTCCGACCGCATCGAGAATTCGGGACTTTGCGCCGGTGAAGCGCGAAACCGACGCACGACGGCCACTACGATAAATGGACAGTAGCAAAAAAGCCAAAAACAAATCGTATTCTAGAGTGTAGTATTAGCCGGCAGTGCGAGGTGGCTGCGCTGGCTCACAGTAGTGTGTGCTATCCCACATTCCAGTGCTTCCGTTGATTTTGCACGTAAAGGTAAGTGGCTTACGTCTTGTACATACTACCCCTGTACCGTGTAACGTACCTATCCTTGTCCCACAGTACGAGATTACGTGTTTCCTTGCCGATTTAGTTTTCCGCCGCAGGTAAGCTCATAAAATTATTTGGAAATGCATTTTCACATTTGTTTTTTTTTTTAAATTAATAATATATTATAACGTTTCATTTTTTAAACAATAAAATCATTTTTATTTTATTTTTTATATTTCAATGAGATGTAATATTTTTAAAATAACCGTTTATTACTATTATGTTGATAGTTTATTATTTTCTAGTTACATTTATAAAATTATAGTAACTATTGTCGAATGAGACATATATTGCCAAAATATATGCAATATATACTTTACATTGTTATCGTTCTAAATAAACAGTATTTCAGTAAAATCTGAGCAACAAAATTAATTTTTTAGAAAGAAATTGATTTAGTCAATACTATTTTTAAATACGCCTGTTATTTGTTTTACCGTCCAAGAAATATTCTTCATTGAAGTTTTAGTGCCGGTTTGATTTGATATTAATGTCCAATGATAAATGTGCAAATTATTTAAAAATATATTATAAATAGGTTTCACACCTATAACATAATTTTTCTAGTGTATAAAGACTAAATATATAACTATTTTTTTGTTTCTAAGAGTATTTTTCTAATAATGTTTTATTTAGTTTATTAGTCGAATACAACACGACCAAAAAATTTGAGTATAATGACTATAAATCATTACTTAAACTTTTAATAGAAGACTACACAAAATAAGTTTTAACTAAATTTATTGTTATAACTTATTGTGTAATTTAATTTTCCAAGTGAAAATGATCGATGTCAGTTCTTGAAGTTAATATTAAATTGTATTGCATCTTGAAAACTGAAAATTAAGGGCAAAATATTGTTGGATAAGTTTACTTAAATAAATTTGTTTAAGTTTTGAAAATACAAATAGATTTTTAGAACTAAATCGTGAACTTATTTCTATTAAGTATAACAATTAAACGTACCATTCGTTATGTATATAATTTAATTTAACTAAAATTCAGAGTTGAAGAATGGTAATATATTATTTTCTCAAATAATTATTTTGTGGAAGAGAATGTAAAATGAATATTTATTTAAGAAAAAAGATAATAAACTCAAAAATTAACATTACTTAATCATGTTTATAAATACTATTTGAAATCTAAAAATCATTTAAATGGAATTTTAGTTTATCATAACTTATATAATATAAAAATTATATTATGATTAATAATCATATAATGTTCAATTGTTTTGTGTTTTTTTTCGAATATTACAAAAGATTTTCTTTTTTCTCATATTTTATTCAAGATTTGAATTACATTTAGAAAAAAAAAAAATTTAATTTGAAACAACTATTACCAAAAGTGTTTGGACAGTTTGTCTTCATAATATATAATCAAATAAAATCGATTTTAAAATGAGTTGTATTTTTATTTTTATGTCTAAATATCATAGATACTACCTTTTGTATAATAAAATTTTTATAGTTAACGTTTAGTTCTACAATTTAAGTTACAATTTTTATTTAAATATAGTTCGTAAGATAATTAACGAAATTGAAAAAATACCTGTATAGTCGAAATTTTAACGTTGAGTCACGTGCTAACGTCGGTCAATTTCATCCAAAATTTGTATGACTTATCAGACGTATTTCCATAAAAAAAAGTTTAACTAAATAGTCACTTACAAAAATACTTGATTTCATGAGCAAAAAAGTACTTTTTAATGATGGTGGTCTGAACCATTTGTTCCAGAACAAATTTAAACGTATAAGAAAAAGTTAATATTTAATACACTTAAAAATGTCTGAATTTTCATATGTACTAGAAGTATTTAACATATACAATATATGGAAAAATGTTGATACACAGTGATAAAAAAATTATATTTCATTACGAATTATCGATACTTATGTCAAAATTACATTACTTGTGTGTAAAAAATCAACGTATACAGAATGATCAAAATCTGGTAAGACACTTATTTTCTCAGAAACTATTGAGAATTTTAAATTTTTTTAAAGAAAAATAATATCAAGTTCAAAAATCTCTACATTAATAAATAGTCAAATCATTATTATTTTGGTCTCTGCAGGGATAATAACCTTTATTTATAATTATCTTAAATGGGAACCCTTATTTTTAATTTTATACTATGATAGAAAAAAAAATTACAAACAACTTAGTTAATACAATTTTTTTTTTCGATTAACCGTTCGAACGGTTACAGCTTGTTAAAGTTAAGTAATTTTAGGCCAAGTTTGTATTGTTATTTTACTGTATTAAATACAGAAGTCATTATTTTTGTTTGCTTTTGCATAAACCAAATTTTATTGATCAAGTTATGACAGGTAAATTAGCTATAATAATCTACGACGATGCACTAAATGAGTGATAACAATAATAGATTCAAATCGGGTTTTCGGCGTGTTATTAATAGCAAAGTATATGGGTGTGTAAGACTTACAAATAAAAATAATGACTTCTGTGTTTAATACAGTAAAATAACAATAGAAAATTGTATTAAGATCACTTAACTTTAACAAGCTGTAACGAACGGTTAATCGAAAAAAATATTGTATTAACAAAGTTGTTAGTAATTTTTTTTTTCTATCATATTTTAAAACTAAAAATAAAGGTTTCCATTTAAGAAAATTATAAATAAAGATTTTTTTATCCCTGAAGAGACGAAAATAATAATGATTTGTCTACATATTAATGTAGAGATTTTTGAACTTTATATGTTTTCTCTTTAAAAAAATTAAAATTCTCAATAGTTTCTGAGAAAACTAGTATCTTACCAGATTTTGATCACTCTGTATATTAAAAATGTCATACTGATGTATGGGAATTTTTGAATCATTTATTATAATGTATGTCATGTGGTAAGAATAATTATAGATTTCTACTCTATCAAAAATCACTATAAAGATTTTTGAAAGGCTAATGTTTCCTTGAGATTTCCCTTAGAAATGAATATGGTTGTCAATGTTTATTTTCGCAAAATTTTCATTATCTAGAAGTTAAAAACTTAATTAAAAAAAGTATTTTCGTTAAACTTAATAGAAAAAATACTTAACTTGTTGACTGCGTCTTCGATAAGGCATTTACCAGGAAGAGGAGTTATGACTTCCCTTGATACGTGTCAGTCTTTGTTCACTAAAGAAATAATAATGTATGGACCATATTTATTACTTTTAGATCTAACGAATGTTGAGGTTTCAACAAAAATAGAACTTATTATATAAAGAACTCTTTGTAAAAATCTAAGCAACTTTGATTACAAGTTTTTAATACAGTAAAAATTTTTAATTTTCTGTTCAAAATGAAAAAGGAAATATTAGCTTAGTTGTTTTTAAGTTTGTGAGGACTCATATGCTAAGTTAAAGATTATGTCAATAAATAGTTTTGCTATTAGACAAATTTTTTTTACCAATTAAATTTATGTTCTGAAATACAGAAAATACAGATTTATTTATTTATTTACTAGAATAAAAATTGTAAAATAAAATATTTCCAATTGATATATATATTATCTCGATATTGAAGCACATGAATTATCTATACATTTGATGATAAATGTTTTTGTAATTGATTCCATTAAATATGATTGTGCTATAGTAATAAATGCAACTCGTTTGTTTAAATTTTTTTTTATATTATGATTTATTTTCTTGATTATTATTCATAAAGTATAATTTTATAAAATTTACTTTATAACAATAATAGTGAACTAATTAAATATAATAATAACTTTAAAGATTCAATCACAGCTCTTTTAAAATGTTTATGACATTTTGTATGATATTTTACGACGTTTTGTATACGGTTATATTTGATAATTAAAAGAAGAAGTCAAAGAGTTTTATATATTTTTTAATGTTAAACGAAAATTAAACTTTTTATAAAATGTAATTTTAAAAGTTACAATATTTAAATATTTGATATTTTAAAGCTTTAATAAAAGGACTTTCTTTAGTTTTCAAAAATGTATTTAATGATTGAACTAACAGTACTACAGTCTATTTAACAATGGAAGTCCTATTTATTTAAATCTTAAATTTTTTTTCTAAATCAACTGTTTTAAATTTCTATATTGTTAATGTTAAATTTTTAGTTACTCACATTATATTAAGTATTGTATAAAAAACAAATTAAGTCATAGTCAACATAAATTATGATTAATACATTTCACAAAGTTTTTTTGTACATACAATCATTACTAAAGGAATGAAATGCATTTTTGTATAATTATAATGCAATTTAAAAAAAATTATTCTACAACTTTTCAAAATATTCAAATTACCAGATTAATTGAACCCTTTTAAGTGTAAGTATATATGTCAGTAAGCGACCCCAGTGAAATGTTAATAGAACAGCCATATAAGTGCGGTAGTTTTTGAATAAAACCAGGAAGGAAATTCCCTTAAAGGATTAAAACGATTAAAATATCACAAGCTCATATGAGTCAAATATGCATTTAGCGTAAAATACTAATTCTATGGAAAAAAAAAAATCTCCAGAAAATAGTCAACAAAAAACAGGAATCGTTATTTACCTCAATCATTTGTTGTTTTTCTACTATATACTTTAGTACAAATATTATATATTAAAATATTTTTAAAAAATTGCTTTACAGTTTTTATAATTTCATAAAACCGAATTGATATTTCCTCACGTTCAATGAAAATATACATCACTATGAAGAATAGTAATGTACTTGGACAAAGAAAAAATAAGGTTATTTTTGTTTATCAAAATTAATATTTTTGATTTGTTAATTAACGAAATATGATTAAGTCAAACTGATATTCAGAGATGATTACCATAACTGTCTTATACATGGCATACGTATAATCTGTTCTTAATATTTAGAAAATATTTAACTTGTTGCGATCGATCCTTGTTATTTTTGCCACTAAAATAATTTAAAAATCTAAAAGTTGTACATATTAATTGCAAATAATTTTATGAAAGGCATAATTTGGAAAGGTCTCAATGGAGCTTTGCCCTCTGTAATTTTGCCTCAGCTACCAAAAACTATGATGATTACATATATTTAAAAAAAAATGTTCAGGTAGAGGAGAAACTCAATTATATCTTTTACACATGTTCAGGTTATGCTTATGTTTTTCATTGTTAAAAATTTTATCCTATTTATGTTTGTACACCTAGTCTACGGTTTATGACTGTCAGTTTATAACTCGTAATGAATCTATTAATCATTTGAAGAAAAGATTTAGTTTAAACATTTCAGTAAAATATATTGTTTACAATTATAAGTTTTTATTTGAGAACTTTAAATAATAATCAAGAACTTTACAAAAATGTATTTAATTTCTGTATTATTTATGTGATTCATGAAAAATATTGGAAATAATTATTATGGGGATATTTTAAAATATACGTGTAGATACATTTCGCTGAATGTTACACATAAATTATATTATGAATAATATATGTAAATTTCAAAACATATTTTTAAAGGTTTATCTTACTTCTCTAGTGATCATGTTTTACAGTTTTGGCGTAACTCATAAATTAAATTGGCATCCAAATCTATAGATTTCCATTAATTCCATGACTGTTATGTTGGTGAAATAATGAAAACAGATTGACGTGTTATTAATATTTACCGATGTAATATAAATTTATACATGAAAAATGTTTAATAAATGATAAAAGTTTACATGCAACAAATATAATAAAGCTACTGTGTAAAATATTTGGATTAAAACATTTTAAAAAATAAAATATAACACCTACGTATAACGCTTAGGTGAGAACAAAGGGCTAATAAGAAACAATTCAAATTATACTGACTTTATAAAATACATAAAAAGTACATAATCAACATGAAATGTGAGTAGCACGTGTTATTTGATAATAAATTCTATTTTAGGTAAGCCAGCTAAACAAGTAATATTGTTGAAATTATTTTTAAAAAAAGTCATTCCTTTTTGGCACGTAAATCATCCTCTCGAAAATGATTAAACTTCTACCACCAAGTTAATATAATATATATATATAAATACGTTGGAAGAGGAAAATTGAATAATACCGTCAATTTTTCTTAATGCCTCGTGGGTGTGATCAACGTGGAAAATTTTCAAGTTATTGCAAGTGCCGTTCATGTCTTTTAATTTTTTATGTAAACACAATTAGGCGAGGAATTAAAATTGTTGAAATGGCTCCACAGATTCTAATGGACGATAACCACAGATTTACAGTGAACCAATCTCTGTTATGTAGACAAAGTGAAATGAACGTTAAGTATGTAATAATAATAAATGTCACGTCGAACAGATAATAATTTTTCTCCATTTCCTTAGTTCTCTTTCTACCTTTAATATACACTACTGTATAGTTGTTTTCTCTATATACTTTGGGGTGTATAGCAAAAGGGAACAAAAATCGAGAGAGACGTGCCCGACTTTAACGGTATATCATTAATCTTCTGGCCATACTTTTACAATCCCTCCTTTCTATCATATTTTCTAGTATTGTAACATTGTTTACACCAACGCTCATTTGTTATTTAATTTGTCTAGTCGAGCAACCAATATGATTCCAAGTGTATGTGTGTTTACCCACTCAGCTACTCATTTATTTTATGTCAATGGTTTGTTATATCTTTATACCAGCTTATCATCATATTTTACCATTTCCACTAATCTACATATATATTAATACGTGCGTTCTTATTATTAAGTATTATAAGAACACACGTTGTTCAACAAATGCGCACATTTATATAAAGTGATCAGTAAGTCAAGAAACATGTCAATTGTTACAAACAATGAGAACAATAGAAACCCGTTTCATTACTTACTGAACACTCTTTATATGCTTCTATACTAAAAACTCATTTATAAGGACCACTAATTTTTCGATTTTTAGTCTATTACGATCATATAATTGTAATATAAACTCCACGGAGATTATAAAATATAAAAAACTTTGAAATTTGCTGACCTAATCTTTTTTTGTCCCCAGATTGTATTGTTTATCTCTTTATTTGACCAAAGTAACAGTAGGCGGCTTACCTAGCTAAGGCGAGTTCGATTCCAATGCACTGGGTTATATATGTATACCCGTTCTCTCTAGAACAAGTAATAGCTTGTAGAAGGGATATTATACATGATTATTAATAACAAAATGTATACAAAAATACTATAAATAGGAAAATAAGATTTAAATTTTCATTATACGTTGAAAATTTAGATAATATATGAAAAAAATTAATAGACCTAAGTGAGGCCAATCCTAATAAGAACTCAAGATTATAAAACTTATGAATCTCCAATCAAATTATTTTATCTAATTTTACAAAAAAACATTAAAAGAATAATTTTTTTTTATTTTATGATGGAAGAGTCTGTAACCTGATACTAATTTTAAAACTATATTCATTAATTAATGCTCCTTAGCTTATAATTCAGCCATATCAATCGAAATAATAGCTTTGTAAATTTCTAGAAAAATACTTTGTGCAATATTTATAAGCTTAAAATATTTTAAATTAAATTTTATAAACAAATAGATAAATTTATGTTTATTTATTCGAATATGCGTATAAGACTGAAATATATCCTCTGCCGATTTCCCACGAGAATTGCATGTTTTTCACTTTCTTTTGTAAGTATTTGAAAACCTGCTTTGTATATTGTACGGCATCAATAATTTAAATTTATATATACATAATATGTATATGTATATTATACATATAAATATATATATATATATAAAATGCAAATATTTACGTTAAAAATTGTGCGGCCAGGAACAGATTAATAACAATATTTGCAAACAAATATAATTTTTAACATAAATTTTAATAAATCATATACAGTATACTGAAACTAAATATTTTAATGAATATAATACAATATAAATATCCTTTGAGGGAAATTAACGGTGATATTATTTAATGCACTTGTATATTAATTAGTATTATTACAGTTGCGTGCATAGACGTAGAAGCTACGCATTTATTAATATATAAAAAGTTTCAAAAATGCTTGATCATACATAATATTGAATTGAGGTAGCAAAGACTAATGTAATCATTAAATTAAATTGCGTTTTTGTTACATAACGCGTACCTACCATTATCATATATGATATTATATTTAAAGAGAGAGTATTATTTTCAAGGGATTAGTTAATTATGTTAAATATGTAGCAATGATTATTTAAATTAAACTTTCTATTCACAGCCCAGTTTTTATTAATAAAAAATATTTCATAATTTATATATTTTTTTCTTTTTTAAATGCAAATTTGTATTTAACGGTTTATTTATTTTCTACTTTATCCTATCATAAAAATAAAAACATTTATGAATCATTCTTGTTTGGTCATATCATTGATATTAGGTTATCAATAATAGTTAATATTATTAAATTTAAATTATTAATTTTTTCAATGATGAGAAAAAAAAGATCCTTAGAGATTTAATAACTTTATTCGCATTTATAAAAACTTAAAAAAAAACTAAGCACAAATGGGTCGCACTACAGTTGGGATAAGTAGTGACGAAACCAATAAATAATTTTGGGGGGGTATTACTTGTTTTTTTACACGCCAAATGTTTTTACCCTGCATTGTCATTTTAGAAAATTTAAACAAGTAAACAAAAATATTGTGATTAAAAAATTCAAACATTGCTAATATTTTTGAAGTGGTTTACTCTAACTTGCCCTAGTTGTGTCACTAGGAACAAATATAGATGATATCTGATAGTGATATTAATCATTATCATGGAAAACGTTTTGATGCGAATCTGTAGATAATGTTCAATTTTAAGATATTTAAAATATAATTTAAAAGGCGTTTTTGAAAAATATTGACGACGCCTAATTTCATGTAACTGCCTTACACTAAAATCTTAAATACAGTCTGTTTATAAGTATAATTATATTATACATTAGTAATAAATTACATGGATAATTAATTATAATAAAAATTAAATTTAGTTTGAAATGTATAATGAATAATTTAAATTTTTACGGATAAATTATAAAGTATTTGTACTATTCCTTACCTTTATGACAAATGTCTATCAAAAGTGTAAAAATTAATTTATTAATAAAAAAAAAAGCTCTATTATCCTCACAATCGTTAGTTAATTATAGTTTCAATTATGAAATTGAAATTGTAATTTATCAAAAAACTATTGGTAGCTAGAATCTTTTATTTGATAAAAGGATTTGTTTTTTTAACGGCTTATTTCTCTAAGTAGAATAATCGTAAAACCGATTTTTTTTTTATAATATAGTATATTTCAAAAACTTTAATTTATAAGTTTTCAATTAATATTTTCAATATTGGAGTAAAAAAAAATTTTTTTCATGCGTCAATAATTTTGTTAAACATTTACTGTACATAGGATTTTTTTATTAAATTCTCATAAAAAGCATACCGAAAGAAAGCCCGTTATTTCTAATATACTTATTGAAAATTTCATTATAACTTGTGTTTTTAGAGTTATATCAATTTTAAAATACAGGAAACAAATTGAAGGATTTTTTTGTGAAATTTCGGCGTTAATAGGTTTAACTAGATTCAATTTCATTTATTATGACGCATAGATCAACAAAATCGGTCAACTGAGAGTTTAATATTTTTATTGACAGGTACAAAAAATAAAATAACACTACAAACCTTTACATTGAAGCTAATAACATTATTTTAAGATAAGATTGTGTGATATCGTAAAAAATATAGTTTAATATCAAATACTATAAAGGTTATAGTACTACAAAACTATTCTTTTTCGGTGTTCTATAACATTAAACTTTTCTTTTTTTTCATTATAAAATTTTTTTTGTGTTCATTAAATAAATATATAAAAACTATTATATTATTTTATGTTATTTTAAAATATAAATCACTAAACTTAATTGGGCTAGTTTGAATCCTCCACTACGCCTACACAACTGGCCCAGGACCATATCCATCTATTCTTTGAGTAGATATTTTAAGTGATAATAAACTTGATTGTTATGTTAAAATTACGTCCATTTTTAATTTTTATTGATAGAAAAACTGTGCTAATATTTTTAATTAATTTTTGCATAAGTTTCTTAATAATAATAAAAAGAAAATATTCACTAGATAGCATTGATGTTTTTTAACAAAAACTAATTTATATGAGTATTTATAATCTATTATACACAATAATGTATTATTATTTCACTTAATTGTTATTTGAACTATTAAATCAATTAATTAAACAAAATTTTAATTATAATTTATAATTTTTATTGTTTGAGGTTTGTTACAATGTAAAAAAAAATTATACCCATTTTAATTTTATTTTTTAATGTAATTGCATTTATACAAATTTTATATTGAAATTTTATTTTATTCTGATTAAATAACAACTGGCTTCCTTATAATTTTCATAAAGGGCTTCTCTTTCAAATGTTTTTATGTTGGCAAGTAATTCAGCTTCTATTGACATTTTTGTTACAAAAATGTCAATAATATAAAATAATGTTTGTATAAAAAATTATAGAATTATATAATATATAATTCTATTATAAATATTATATATATATTTTTTAGATAGATTAAATTAAATGAGACACAAATAGAATATTATTTTATTTGTTTACTGAAAATTTAATAATGTAAATGGAGTTATTCTCCGTAAATAAAGATAAATTATATTAAGTAA